CACGATATCTCACTCTCGCCCACTTCTGCAACAATTTTTTTAGCTACCAGTATATTTATATTAAAATGCAATTTATTAATAATATACTGATGTTAAGAATGAAATGAACAGAAGAAAATCTGTATTTGCTTTTAATCACTCAAGGCTATTATAGTTTGCCTTTGCCTAATTTTTACCTGATTAACTAACAATTAAATAAACGTTCATATTCACACTAATGACATGAACGAACCTGCCGATTCTTGCATAGCTATTCCAATGTTTGGATGTATGCTGGTAAGTACGCATTGAGCACGCACACAGAAAAAGGGGGGGCAATTCTATCTAAGAATTTGTAGGGAGACGTAGAAAGAAATCAAAGAATTTGTAGGGAGACTCCCTACATATTCTTTGGTTCTATACACATTCCCTACATATTCTTTTATTCTATATATGCAGGCAGTCTCCCTACAAATTCTTTGGTTCTACACCTCCCGTTCTACTGGGCCGATTGACGAAACTTCCGAAAGCCAAAAATGCAGGTAAAACCTCGATCAAATCTGGACTTAGTTACGCCCAAGCCCTTAATCCTGAAAGGAAACATGTACAAACATAGAAACCTCTTGAGATACATGTGAATACAAATGCTGATCCAATTGGTGCAAACTTGAATCCTTCGAATAATTTTAATATGAGCGTAATCGGTTATTTACTAGAACTTATGAAAATAATGACTGAATTTCAAAAATTATTTAGCCAAACCTTAAACAAAATCAGCCAAATATTCAAGAATAAAATTCCAGATATGAGAAACTGTGGAGATGACCCCGGACAGAAAACAAACTTTTCCTACCAGATATTGGAAAAAATTAACAACATTGTGCAGAAAAATTAAGGTCTTATGTACCTGACAAATATCTTATGTTTTTGGTTTCATGTTAAATTTCTCTTATTTGATATGTTATTTTGCAACACGTTTTCGTTTTGATTCCTTTTGATGTCAATTCTACAGCTCAAGTAATGCCAAACTGTCACGTTTAGTACAAATGGCAGGGGTAGTTTTTAAAACATTATCTGACAAAATTTTAACACCTCAGTATTAACTGAATTTGATATATATTTATTAATCTCTCTTTTTTACTAAAGTTACTTGATTTAGCAGGAATAAGTGTAACTGCAGACTGATAGACTGCGAGCTCAGCGAAAGCGTAAAGAACGTTAACAAACCCTTTTAGGTGAACGTTAAAATCTGAAACCTTTCAGTTTTTTTTTAAATTTTTTTATCATTTTTTTTAAAAATTTGTAAACTTTTTAAGCAATAAGTACACTATAAGAAAATAAAGCGCAAGAGCAGAAGAAAAACCAAAAAAAAAGGGGGGAAGAAAAAAAATGCGAAGAAGACAACCTTGAAATGGAGAACAGGAAACAGGCTGAATATTTTTGAACAACGTTGTTTAAAAATTAACTAAGCAATTTTATTCCAAATACTTTTTAAAATGTATTAATACATCAAAGCGTAGCTATCGCATTAATCAAAACTTTGTGGAATTAGAATCTGAGATTTTTTTTTCCAAGAGCATGCAAAATTAAAGGTAATAGCACCACAAAAAATAATAAGGATAAAATCTAATAACCATTTTTTTCAAATCTTTTCTTCATACTCTTAATTTTAACTGTTATCTACAAGTTATTTATTTGCAATTACTTGTATTATTATGTTGTTTACTGCATAGTATAGAGAAAATGTTAAGAGGTCGATTAGAAAAAAAAAAAAAAAAAAAAAAAACTTTTGAAAGAGCTAGAAAAACGTTGGGAATCCCTACACTCCATCTGTAAACAATTAATAATCAATTTTATTAATATTTTTTATAATCAATGATTTCTCGATTATGCTAATCAGAATGCTAATAAGTTGCCAGTGCATATTTGGGTATCGACCGTTTGACTCTCATTGGCCCCCTTTAAAATTCTGTCGACGCCCCAGGGGAGTCAGAACCTATCCCGCCGAGAACCTGCACATATGAACGATAATTCAAAATATCTCTTTTCCATTGTTAAGAAAAGTCCAATGATTGAGTCGAAAATAATCGCTCCGGTGAAGGTATTTCTAACCACAGAGGACAAAACTGGTGTTAGAGCTCGAAACCTATTGTTATGGCATTTAACGCCGTGGGCTTTCCTCCCCCCACCCATCAGCTATTCATACAGTTGCGTCGCGAATGAAAATACTGGAGACAGAATCGAAAGCGAAAAGTTGCGCATACCACGAGTGTTTTTAACTTCTGTTGCATCACAATGGTTATAATTCGGTTATTGACCTTAAAAAACACTTAATTCTCTCTTCTACGCTACGATTTGTTTTAAATTAGCTAGAAGAATAAAAAAAAAAAAAAAAAAAAGACTTTCACAAGATATCGCAACCACAGCTGTAAAAATATGATTAAAAACCAATATAAATTTTCTTCTATTAATTTAATTACTGTTACCAATCTTAATTTAAATGGTTTGGTTTGATTTATGCCATCATGGAGGGCTTTCTAAACGAAACTCGCATTAATACACGTTACGAATGGGGAAAAACATGAAGCCAGCCCGTTCACGAAATTCGAACCCCAGACGGAACTACCAGTTTTCATAAATTTTACCGCTCGGCCGTTGATGGGCCCATAAAATTAAATTTAATTAATTTAAATTAATTGCATTTTAAAAATATTAATATACTGGAAATAAGATATGTTAAAAAATTACTTTCGAAAGGGAAAAGTGCAAGATGATTCGGAGAGCATTCAATTTATAAAAGTTGCTTGCCCTTGAAAAATGTCTGTGAAACGCTGCCTCAAAAAGTTCTCCACGAAAGCATTTCTTTAGAGTCAAAATAGATTATAAAAATTACCAAATGAGAATGAACTGTCGCCAAACAGCTTGGTTTCGATTTTAGTCAACCATTTAAAATTAGGCAAAAAAAAAAGTGACTTCAGTTTTCAATAACTTTATTGATTTTTAAATGATCAGACACAGTGTTGTATCTCTCAATAGAATTCTAAAAGGTAAAAAGAAATCCCTTACCTTTTCTTTCACCCGGGAGCCGAGCTTGTTCCATTCTAATTCTTATTCGATGAAATATCTAAATAATTCCAAGCTTTTGCATAAAAACTGACACTTCTGTATAAATAAAGATATTATATTTAGATACAGTTATATACAATTATTAGATTACATGAAATTACGCGCTCTCCAGCTAACAGTCAATCGAGTTCGGATTCAGAGTTCTAACTACGTTCTTCCGTAGGATTATTCTCGAGTTTAGATGTAATGGTGCTGATAGTTCAGAGTTTAGATGTGGAGGCGCTGATAGTTCGGAGTTTAGATGTAACATCTCCTCCCACCATTGAGATCCGACGATGCGGAGGAACTCAATACACACAGGTCCAGTCGATGAGGAGGCCGAACAACTCGTCCAGCTCTGGTCATCACTCGAGGACTTGAGGCAGGTTCTGGAATACTAGCAGCCTGATCAGCCTGACCAGTTGCATGGTCGTTTCTATCTCGAGGTGCTCTGTCGGGGAACGGAGGGCCAACGGATTCGGAAGTAGAGATCTCCAACGGGAAAAGCCGGGGCACTGGACGAAGCAGAATTCCATTTCTTGTCTTGACCCTCGCTAGTCTAACTATTCCGTCTTTACTGGGGAAAAGCTCGACTATCTTGGCTAAAGGCCAATGTATGCGTCGTCTCTGGCTGTCTTCCAATAGAACGACATCGCCTACTTGCAACTGTTGAAATTTTCCCTTCTTTATTGCCTGTTGTCTCAACTGACCAAGATATTCATTACGAAATCTGTTTCGTAGATCATGTCTTATTCTCTGTCGGTATTTGGCTCGACGGTTTAGTTCTTTGGAATCTACGTAGTCCATATCAGGAACTCCTGATGACGGCAATTCTTGCAGAAAACATCATAGGGGTCAGTGGTGATGGATCTTGATTATCCTCTGATACGTATATGTGATAGGTCGCGAATTAATCACTTGTTCACAGTCACATAATATAGTATATAATTCTTCATAATTTAAGGACGTTCGACCTAACACTCTTCTTAAATTTTCTTTCACCATTCGCACAAGCCTCTCCCACCAACCTCCCCACCAGGCGGCGGTCGGAGGGTTGAACTTCCATCGTATCCTTTGGATAGAAGCAGCTGAACATATGGCGTTCCAATTAACTTTCTTAAGAACACTGTTAGTCCCTACAAAATTAGTTCCGTTGTCGGAATATATCACATAAGGTCTACCTCTTCTGGCAATGAATCTACGTAAAGATTGGATGAAAGTTTCTGTAGATAGAGAAGTAACTAGTTCGAGGTGAATGGCTCTATAAATGGCACATGTATACAAGACTATCCACGCTTTAGACCCCTCACGGAGATAGAGAGGACCCGCTAGATCTACACCGACGACTTCAAAAGTCGCCCCTTCTCTGACTCGATCTTCGGGTGGAAATCCTGGCTCGACTTCCACTCTTTGTGAAACAAATCTTTTACATCTTACACATTTTCTGATAATATTTCGAATACTTTTTCTGGATTTTAATATCCAAAAGTTTTCTCTAAGATTTGTCATTAAAGTGCTGACACCAGCATGCTGGAGTTCTAGATGTTTCTCGTAAATTAGTCTCTCAACAAGAATATGTTTTGAAGGTAAAATGATAGGATATCGGAAATTTTCATTATCTTGACGCTGTAGGACGTTCGTTTTGGCTCTTAAAATTCCATTTTGGTCTACGATTGGTCTCAGCGCACGAATAGCGGGATCGTTTATGCCTGTAAATGATTCTTTCTGTACCAATCTACAAAGTGCCTTTTCAGCATTCTCCAATTCATCAACTGAGACATCAGGAGTGAGGTTTTTATCTTTGTTCTTTAAATTGTGATAAAACCTGAAAATCCAAGCGATCATTCTCACGGTTTTTCTATATGAAGAGAAGTATTTGTAGTACCGGTCCAAATTGTCTCCATGATCTAGAAGAGTCAGAATCGTTTTCCTTTTTTCTTGTTTATAAGTTCTTCATCAGGCTTTTCTTCTACATGGGGCCACTCGTCTTCTGGTAAGTAAAGCCACGATGGGCCCTCCCACCATGCCGATTTCTGTAATTGCTCAATAGTACATCCTCTCGATGGGAGATCCGCTGGGTTTAAACTTCCAGGTACATGCCTCCAGTCAGATATTCTGGTAAGCGATCTTATTTCTTGTACTCGATTGTGAACAAACGTACCCCATGCTTGATCCCTTCTTATCCACCCCAAAGCTGTAGAAGAATCACTCCAGAACACTGTTCTACAATTCTTAAGTTTCAAATCTGATAGAATTGTTTTGGCAAGCCTGGCACCTATCAGACAGGAAAGAAGTTCAAGCCGTGGAATCGTAAGTTCCTTAATAGGGGCTATTCGACTTCTCGCGCTTACTAACTGAACCTTTACACCTTCGATGGTTTCAGCTCTTAAAAATGCACATGTGGCATAGGCTCTTTTACTAGCATCCGAAAAAACGTGGAGCACTACGGTATCTTCGTTTTCGTAATCAATATTTAACCAACGAGGAATTTCAATCTGAGATAGCAGAGGCAATTGGTTCAACCAAGTCCCAAACTGCTCACTTAGGGGAAGAGGAAGATCTTCATCCCACTTAATCTTCTGGTTCCATGTTTCTTGCAAAATTAGCTTAGGAATTACAGTTATCGGTGCAGTAAAGCCAATGGGATCAAAAATTTTCTGGGTAATTGACAAAACTTTTCTTTTGGTAATAGGTTCCCTCAAGTTAAATGTTTCTTCGATCTTGCAACTCAAACTATCTTTTTCTAAATCCCATACTAATCCTAATACTGGGACAACTTTCGTCTTGCTCTCTATCTCATCGATCATGTCAATGCGAAAATTTGATCGCCAACATCTCAAATTGAAATGCCCTGAAGCCAAAATCAATCTTGCTTCTTGAACGAAATTTTCGGCTTCATCTACGTGATTTAAGCTAATTAACGAATTATCGAGGTAAAATGAATCCTTCAAAATATTAGAAGTTTCTACAAATTTTTTCTGGGACTGTAGTCAAAAGGTGACTAAGTGTAGCGGCTAGCAGAAACGGACTTGATGTGAGTCCAAAAAACAACTCGGTTATGTCTGTAAATTTTAAACTTATGTTGATTATCGAACCATAGAAACCTTAAAAAATCTCTATCCTTTTCTGCTATTTTGATTTGACAAAAGGCCTTTTCGATGTCAGATGACACTCCTATGCGATATTTTCGAAAACGATTCAATATACGTGGAATAATTTCTATTAAATTTGGTCCTTTACTCAAACAATCATTGAGAGAGGGTGAATTCTTAGAACGTGCAGATGCATTGAAAACAGGCCGTATCTTTGTAGTTTCACTAGACTCTTTTATTACAGGTCTGTGTGACAAGTAGTGCACTCCTTCCTCCTTTTCCTCAGTTACTACCTCAATAATATCCTTCGCTTCCCACTCATCAAATATTTCTTCGTAATCTTTTCTTCTGCGTGTGTTAATTAGTTTACTTTCGGTTTTGACGAGGTGTCTTTCTGCCACAGTACGGTTACTGGATAAGACGGATTTATCTAAAATAAAGGGTAAGGTTACTTCATATCTCCCGGAGCTATCTCGTTTTACACTTTTTAAGAAATGTTTTCGGGTTTCTTCTTCCAAGGCACTTTTCGTTTTGTTTTCCTGACTTGAAATCCCCAAAGTGTCTAAACGCCAAAGATTGGACAAATTTGTATCGGAAACATGTAAGGATAAAGAAAGAACGGACAGGGAACTCGACGTATTCGCATTCTCTTTAATCTTGCCCATTAAAGTCCAGCCTAACTTGGTCTCAAAGGCTACGTAATCCCCCGCAAAATGTTCAATTCTTTCAGTGAACAATTGTGCTGCGGTGTCCGCTCCTAACAGCATATGAATCTCTTCCGGATTTTCTTGAAACAGACAGAGATTTCCATTCACATGATTGTCGTTGATAAGGATTCCCCTTTTTTCCATTACTTTAATTAATTTTTTCGTCTTGTCTTGATCTTAGGTAGTGACGAACAAATTTTCCTCTGGTCTAGTGCTTCGATTTTACACACCTGTACTTTCCATCCAAACTAGTTAGTTAAATCTATTTGATAACGATTATGATCTTCCGAAACTTCTACACCCCCAAATAACCCATGTTTAATTCTTTCAGTTCCTATCTTTTCTAATTTCAACGTTTTAGCAGCATATTGACTTATGTACGTGTTCTGACTTCCGGTGTCTATTAGCAATCTTAAATAACCCTTTAAGGTTTTCCCAGCTACCCCTACGACCAAAGTTTGTAAATAAACTTCAGAACGGTTGCTTTGATTCGAAAGTACTTTATTTTCAACTTCCTGGACAGTTTTGATCGTTCCCTTTTTACTCTCGGAATTAATTCTGTTGCACATAATCGTAGAATGCTTAGAGTGACAATGGGAGCAAAAAATGTTAGAATCACAAAATTTGCTGATGTGACCCTTATTTTGTAAACACCTAAAACAAGTGCCATTTTTGCGTAGTATTTCAACCTTTTCGTCATTAGTTAGTTTCTGGGCAATAGGACATTTATGGCTTGAATGGGAAAAATCTCCGCAAAAAAACGCATGCCTTAATCAATTTTTCTTTAATACCCGTGGACACTAAATCAGAAGCAGAAGAAGCTTTCGTTTCTAATTTATTGCTCTTTCCATCGCTGAAATGACGAGTGTTTATTTTCTGGACTGCATACGCAGACTGACGGCGCCCACTATTCGCTGTCGAATGCTCTGAATTCTTATTTATGACTTCCGCCCTTTCGCGTGAATCTAAACATTGAGCTATAATCAAGCACAGGCTTTTAATATTACAATACGCACTTCCATTACTCATTCTGTTAATCTCAAGCAAAATATCTTGGGGAAGTGATTTCAGAATTATTGGACATAACACACTTGATAAATTCTCGAGAGACTGACCCAAATTTTCTAAACATCTTAATTCGATAGAAATATTATCATAAAATTTTCTAAAGGCGCGAACATCATTCGAGATTTTCAACGGTTTAGTGTTCAAAATGTTATTTATGTGAGTGTAAATGAGCACATCTGTTTTCGCAAATCTTTCTTTTAGAAGATCAATTGCGGAATCGTAATTAGCAGCAGTAATCGGTAATCCTTCGACTGTATTTAAAGCAGAACCACCTAAATGAGCTTTCAAATAATTAAATTTGTCTATTTTATCTAATGAATCATTTTTATGAATGGCAGACTCGAAACTGTTCCAAAAGGTTAGCCAGTTGTTTATATCTCCGTAGAATTTCGTTAAAGTTAACTTAGGTAATTTAATTCGAACAGACTCGTTATGTTTTGGTTTCGTTTTTGACTGTCAGTACTGAACTGGTTATTTACTACCGTTTCAGTAGATTTGCGTTTTAATTCGTCGATTCTTTTGGAGGTACGGAAACTGCATTTAACGACCTTTTGACGATATTCTTCAGATTTTTGGAATTCAGCATCAAATTCTTCGACTTTAAAAAGAGGTTCTAATTCTGTATCGACACTTTTAAGCGATTCGAAATTATTCTTTAATATTTCTAAATTTTCTTCCAAATCATGAATTTTCGGATCAATTTCCGAAAGCTGCGATTCCAAATCTTTAAGCGATTTCGTTACTGATGTTCGGAGAGCTGCGCGCTTCTTTTTTAACTTATTTAAGATCTCTTCAGACATGTTCTTAACAGTTCAAAAATTCAAAAAGTAATCAATAATTGTATTCTTAATCTTTATTGTCTAATTTAAATTCTTATTCTTAGCTCGGGCGTCCCGGCAGGGATGCCAAAAAATTTGTTGTATCTCTCAATAGAATTCTAAAAGGTAAAAAAGGATCTCTTACCTTTTCTTTCACCCGGGAGCCGAGCTTGTTCCATTCTAATTCTTATTCGATGAAATATCTAAATAATTCCAAGCTTTTGCATAAAAACTGACACTTCTGTATAAATAAAGATATTATATTTAGATACAGTTATATACAATTATTAGATTACATGAAAATTACGCGCTCTCCAGCTAACAGTCAATCGAGTTCGGATTCAGAGTTCTAACTACGTTCTTCCGTCGGATTATTCTCGAGTTTAGATGTAATGGTGCTGATAGTTCAGAGTTTAGATGTGGAGGCGCTGATAGTTCGGAGTTTAGATTGTAAAAGATCTTTCAGAGCAAAAAAGATGTGCAAATTTCTTTCCCCCCGAAAAAAATTTAAAAAATCTCGCTAAACAGATGTTTTTTAACTAATTTTTACTTTTACACTAGCATGTTCTTTTCCAGTGAGAGTTATCCTCGAGTATTAGGGGCACATCGGTCAAATAATTTCTAGAAACGTTATGGTTTGGTTCAGTTGATTACGGCAAAACACAGCAGGGCTTTCTGCCTAAAGGGAGGGGTGCCTTCGTGGAGGATTTTTAAGGGAACCCGGCTCGTATACACGTGACACATGGGGAAAAACACGAAAATGCTCATGCAGCCAGCCCGATCGCCTGGAATCGAACCCAGGGTGGAACAACCAGTGTTCAACGATTTTTCCGCTCTGCCGTTGGTGGGCGTAAAAACGTTATGAACAGTCCATAAACAAAATTTTTCTAATTGAAACACTTGGAAAATACCTATTTATACGTTTTTAGTCATATTTATATTAAATTAGTTCCATTTCATTGCTATTTTGAAAAAAGTTTTCTCATTGTTTACTGTTATCAATCGGTTAATGTTATCAAAATAGCCGTGGACAAGCTTGATTACATTGAACGCCGCCTATTATAGAATAAAAATTGTTTAAGCCGGGTTAAATTCTGCAGTGACATTTTTCATTTGGAAATTTGAAGGTTAAAAATAAAACATTTCTTAAGAGTTATTAACAAAAGCTTCGTAATGAATGGCAAAGTAAATATTATTAAAAAAAGTTAATTTGAAATATTCTCACTAAAATTTTTTTAAATAATACAGCAAGTTAATAAATTGCTCAGGTTTGAATTGATTCAGTCATTTTAATATATTTTCTTGAATACCACTTTAACCTGTTTTGTACACGCAAATTAAACAAAATGGAAACTGGTAAATTACAAGTTGAAAATGGGTATCTTTAACAAAAACCTCCAATCATCTATAATCCAAATCATCGCTTAGAGAGTCTAGACAAGCTTCTGCAGAATTATCTAAATAATGAGCTATAAAAACATCCCAAATAATCGACCTATTGTCTATTAAAAACCATCGAAACGCCTTGAGGTGTTCTTGCCTGCATTTGATTGGTAGATGGGGTCTGTATGTGTTTATATCCTGAGAACGTCTTGCCTCTCTTTCATAACCATACGCCATGTCAAAATTTCAAGCCACAAATCTTATTGGTTCCAACCCATCGTACAAAACTACAAAATTAATGAACTGCAAGGCTATCGAACTTTTTTTTATACCCCATTGAAATCCAGTTTCGTGCTGCTTTGCCTATTCCACTTTAAAAATTGGAATAAGCTGTCAATAGTAAAAGTCTATTCACACGTCAGAAGTCTAATTTGAAGTTACTTTTCAAATCGCGTGCCACGGCAACAAAAGACCGCTCGGAGAGAAAAAAACACGGCGCATTTTTTTAAAACAACTTGAAAACTGGACATGTACACAAACGAAAATAGCTTTAAAAAAAATTTGTTTTGCAATGCAGAGAATTGAAAGGAGTCTTATGTACAGCTTCCTATTCAAAAAGGAACATTTAAATTTACACAATTCTAATGATTTTTTATATACTACAGTACGTCAGTAAAGTCTTGGCAAAAACTCTGATCGAGAATCAACCAAAATTTACGTTTTATTTGTATCATTTTAG